CATCATCAGAGTACGAAACCAAGTTATTACAAACCAAGTTTGATAATCAAAAGCGGAAGCAAATTAAGTTTGAAAGTAAAGTTTCCAACATAGTTTAATACAGTGTCGAATTAGGATCATAGTCCACAAAAGCAAATAGAGGGATTAATAAAGAAGCCTGCCCAAGGCTTACTCCTTATCCACGGCGGGATAGAAGCAACTCTTGCAATAACCATGATACACAGTGCCATCTGCAACAATGGGAAATAAAACCCTAAGTACGAGAAGGTACTCAGCTAGACTTACCCGTCATAAATCAGAAATAACTTGACTCCAAAGATTATGCAAGGCTGTATAAGTGGGGATAGCTTGACAACACTTTGCATAAAAAGCGATTAACTCAATTATATAATTATGATTCTGTTATCAATTAATTATGACTATTCATCTAAATTAGCAACTATCCTATGCCAAACATGTGGTATATCATTTTAAGAGCATACAATAGTAACCATAGCAGGTATAGTAATTTCATGTTTATTCGAACCATCATATTCCATAGTACAATTACTATGATGCTGGTACTAGCCAAGTTTCTCACTATCCGGGACAGACGGCGATTCGAATCGATTTCAACTAGCTGGGAATTTATTCCTAACACAAACCCAGACATACCGCGCGAAGGCAGTCTTAGGTCACCTTTGGTACAACTCAGGTACACATTTTGTGGGTTCGTACCGCGCCGCACAATCGGGGACACCAAATGCTAGGACGTTCAGGCCTTGCCTGCCCTTCGGTTCAGTCTGATCACCCCCGCAAGGAGCGCACAACAGAACGGGGCCCGACCTGAGTTGAGTTACTCGGCTTCGCGGTCGGAACGAGTTATCCGGCCAGCTAAGTGATAGGCATGTGTTCAATCTTGTCAAATAGCGCCAACAACGGTACGGTCCTTAATCAGCACAGACGTTATCACATGAGTCAACCTACCATAGACTCTGCCCGGCCTCGATTTACTTTTTAACCCATGGTTCTTTTCCATGATAGCAAATATAGCCAACCGTGCTTCGGTATCCACCTATATCTCGCAGGTGATAGAAAATCACCTGACTTCTACTGGTCTAAGCAGGGCTAAGCATATACTCGATCCTAGACCTACATAGGGTTAAAGGTGTATGTATCTGGACAAGGTAGTTCCATGCAGCAATTGGTTACAACCAACTCTTATAACCTAATGTATCAATAAAAAAGGACTCGAATAAAATTTTGTAAAACACTGGGAGACTTAGAATGCTCCGGGGCTTGCCTTTCAGAAAGGAAGTGGGGCGGTGATCAGGGCACTCCGGAAGCTCTTCAGGGATCTGCTCCTCTTCTTCGGGAGCTGCAGCTTGAGGAATCTCCTGCTGGTCCCCTTCCTCTCCTTCGTTGATTTCCAGCAACGTTATTTCTTTCTCCGATCCTAGATGCATGAATATGGCATAAGGTATTGCGAATGCATACATGCTGATAATTATAGTATGATGATACATGATGAATGCATTCTTGTAAGTATTCTTAACAGCATATGGTTTAAGTAACAACAAGTGCATTACGTTTACTGAGTAGGTGCATATCTCTTCTTGATTATTTAATTAACTACTTCAACAATGTATCTACTATATCACAAAACTGCAGCTACTTGTTTTACTCATAACTGGAGTTCTAATTATCCAAATGCAGTGATCCTAGACTTTTTGGAAAGCTTATAAAATTATCTACAACTCTTATTTAATTCACAAAAGCTAATTCACAACTTATCTTAGCCAAAACAGAGAATCATATAAGTGCTGTGTAGAAATTCCAGAGAGCAAGCAATTCAGAAATACGAACTTTAAACAGCTGTAACTCCTAAACCCTTTGGCCTATGGTTCTGAAATTTTAACACAAGATGTATGAAGAAGTTATCTACAACTTTGTTATTAACCATGTTTACAGAAAACATCATTTTCACTATGCAACACACCAAACTACCAAATCTGTCTGAAAACTATTCCAATTTGCATTATAAAGCAACAATACTTCTACTTCATGTAATCACTCAAATTTTAACAACACAAAGTCTACCAACAGTTTAAGCATACCAAATACACTCAAGAAAACATAATGGTGAAGCCCAAACTATTTATTTAAGTGCCTTTATTATTTTATTTAGATACTTAGGTTAAATAATAAACATATACTAAATGTACATCATAAATTCTCAGAAATTTATAGTGGCTTGGTAGTGCTACCAATAGACTACGGTAAAAGTTTCATGCCATTTTACCGAGTAAAACATCCTATGCAAAAATGACAAGGCACAAAGACTTAAAATAGCATAAATAGAAAACCCTAGTGAAAAGTGTCAATCAACAGATTTAATATTTTTCTTAGCATCCATATGGTACTAGGATATCCTCCAACAAATTTCATGAATATTGGATTCATAAATAATTTATAAAAATTCATACAAGGATCTCCTAATTATAAAAGGAAAATCTATAACTAAAAATCTACTCATGCACTGACCCTGAAATTTTTATCAGATCTTATACTAGTAAATAACAGCTTACCACAAAAATTTCAAAATTTTTGGAGCACAGGAACTCTAGATATAAAATAAACAAATTTACATGCATTTAAAAACACATTTCAAGTTTCCATTTAAATCCTCCAAAAACTCTACTACAAAAGCCAGTATAATATTTTTCATAAATACTACACTTTTTAAGGAACACTACAAAATTTAGTTCACAATTTTTGAATCTACACAGCTCCACTTATCTATTTTCAAAGATGCACATAAAACAGAAAATAAACGAGCTAGCTTCTTTACTACTGTTGCTGACAGGCGGGACCCGCGTAACAGTGACCCCACTTGTCAGCGAAACGGAACAGAGCAGCGGCGCTGCACAATCCATGCGCGGCCAGAGCTCGTCGACGGCGAGTTCGCCGGCGGTGGCATCTTCACAACACGACCTACTCGACCGGGCGCACATGTTGGGCTAGCTAGGCGGGCGGATCACCGGCGCGAAAGGCGACGGTGTCGGCCATGGCGGCACGGCGGCGCTGCTCAGCGCGTGCCGATCGACGTGTTCCACGCCGGCGGAACCACTAACGGAGGTAACATCATAGAACAAGCTAATACACATCCTAACCAAGCGCTAACGCTCAAAACCGGAAGAAAAGCGCACGCGAGCCGAGCGGTGGCGAGCTTGCCGTGGAGGTGGCTATGGCGGCCGAGGTTCCGGCGAGAGGGGAAAAAGGCAATACGCCCTCACCAAGGCGCAATTGAAGCAACCAACACGTCGAGGCGGTGGAGGTGGATGTGGCGCAACTACTAGCGAGATGGAGACGGTGGTGGTGTGGTGCAGCGCACGCGAGGCGACGGCGGAGGCGAGGAGGTGCTCGACGGCTGCGGTGGTGCTTCGGCCGGCGAAGGAGGAAGCAGAAAAATTGAAAATGAGGGCGCGGCTCAGTGCGGGCGGGCGCTGGGAGTGTTAAAGCCGGCTCTGGCCTGGCTCTGCCGCGCTGGGCAGGATGCCGCGACGCGCGGCCGTTGTTGGCCACCACGCGGCGCGCGAGGCCTGACGACGGTCGGCCACTGACGTCGTTCGCTTCATTCGATTTAGAGTCGCGATACAAGCCTGACAGCGGGTTTTGCAATCGAATTAACTGAAAATCCGTGGCTCCGTTGTGCAAACATCCTAAACCGAATTGGTAGACCTATGTACCAGCTCCAATTCGTATTCAATGAACTCGTGCTAATTCGCAAGCAAAACCAAGTTATATCATTTCAAAGTTGGGCTGTCAGCACTGTCAGTTAAAAGATCTTAGAAGATTTCGCTAAGTGATGAAAACAGTCATTTGATGATTTTTGCGAGCTCTAAAAGACTAAGCTATGCACTTTATTATCTCCTGACCCAAAAATAAAAGTTGTTCTCCATGACAAATACTACAACTTTGTTTTAGTGACCACAAACATGCATAGCCTCTATCATATGATTCAAACATGGTCAAACCTAGTACGTTCAAATGATGACTTGTTCATGAACTATGACTTAGTGATCCATTTAGCCCTAGTCATGAATACCAAAGTTGTTCATAATGATACTCTAAACATGTTTAAGCTATTTGCAAGGTCACACAATCATTTACATGTATTCACTCATGATCATATGCATATATTCCAAGAAACATGAAATAACAAGCAATGTTGCATATGTTTCAATCTCATGTTTCAATTGTAAATGCTCATATATGAATGCTTGATGCTCATGCTATGCAAGTCAATTTATGCAAGGCTAACACCTAGGGTGTTACATGGGCCGCTCGAGCAGCTATCTAATCAATGTTTTGAGATACCCGGGGTATCATAACCTCGACAATAGTCCTCCAACAGCTCTTCTATCTGGCGTTCTAAAATAACAAGTATGCTATCTCGGGATCCTCGCTCGCTGAATATAGCACGTCATCGCAGCTTGCCATCTGCTTCCCCAGCGCGCGCATGGAGCCTTTTCCCACAAGTATGTCTATCCTGTGTGCATGGCGACACGCCACAGAGTCCCCTACTAGCTGAATATATCATGAGTTATCTATTTTTAGAAAGACTCTTGGATTTATCTATTTTTGGAATTAGTTTTCTATTTTAGAGAAGAGCTAAATCATTGATTTAGCCATCTAATTTTACAAACTCTCTTGGAGCTGCTCTTAGGGATGTAGATGACACCCTGAGACAAGTACATGACCTAAACATAGCATTTTAAAAATTTATTATGGACTATGACATACCAAGACAAGTTCTGGGACCTAAAAATACATTTTAAGACTTTGAGGCCCGAATGATTCCTCATGACAAGTAAAGAGACCACACTCTAATTTTTATTCTTGATTCTAGATGGCGGTATCAAAGCAAATACTGTATTCTTGATTGAACATGGCGGTATCAAAGCTGACTCCAGTCACCAAATTTATAGTCTCTACAACTAGATAGATGGAGATTTCTGCTACATTTCAACAATATCAAGCTCAGCAAGATCCACGCTGGAGACACCATCTGGGCAGAGGATCCCCAACACCGTGACCCTCTTCTGTTGTGATATCTGACTAATCTTACGCCGGTCTTCGTTGGTCAGTTCCCAATCAAAGATTTCCATGTTCTCCTTGAGTCTATCCCTTTTGAAACTCTTGACAACCATGCTAGCGCCTTGCTCGTAGATCCATCTCAGCGAAATCTAGGGGAGAATGGGAGGTTGTTATGCCAATAAGTGTTAACATCACACAAAAAGTTTAGAAGACATGACACGTTGACAGTTTTTAACTCATATTTTATCATATATCATATGGTTTTTCCATGCTGTGCAAAAGGTTCCTAACTTAGTGCTTTTACACTTGGCTGAAAAGAAGTTCACTAATTTGAGCGCATCATGCTCTTTGGCAAACTGCAAAAACCTTTCTGAAGAATACAAACTGCACATACCAAAGGCCTTTAAGATATTGAAATGTTACGAGAATTTTCAACAACCGCTAAACTTCAAGGTAGACATATTGAGGTGTATTGTTGGTACCTGAGCCACTGACTTTCCTCTAGCCTTTGCAACCTCTTGCAGAACCTCAGACTGCAGTACTGGATTGGCCTTAGACATGCTTTGGCCTCCTAGGGGGAGAATAGGCAGTCAAATGAATACCCTTATCTTTGCAGAACTTGGTTAACCTTTTTTGCTGCCAAATTGGATTCATTTCAACCTGCACAAGGTTATCTCACATGTCAGTGTAAGGTGTAGGTATACTTGAGGATATACCATATACAAAGTTGTTTCAGAAACGATTATTTCCTAAAACCCCTTTTTTCGTTGAATAACTATTTATATGAATATTAAAACGCCTTCAAGTTCTAATGTTCTTATTATATCCATATGGACACTCTTTCTTCTTTGATGAAAGAAAAGAGCTATCCTGCATGTTCGAGAAAAATAAATATAGTAAAATATCTGGTTCTTTCTTTATGGTTCTTTGGAACGTAGAAATTTTACATGAATTATATAGGATTTTTATATGAATCAGTTCATTTTTTCACAAGAAATAATGCATGAGTCCACCGTTCCAAAAGGGGCCTTATACGTGGAGTATATCATGCTTATCGATCCTCAAGAAAAGGATGACAAAAGACTGAAAGCAAAGACTCGCAACAAATTGAAGGTTACTGGCTTTGCCATTATGACTTATATGTGGAGTATACCATGCTTATCAATCATTAAGAAAAGGACTACAAAAACCTGAAAGCAAAGACTCACAACTAATCGAAAAGATTACTGGCTTACTGCCATTGCCATCACTGACTCATATGATCTGCACAGACCTGATTTACTGCCGGGGGAATTTCAGCAATGGCCAGTAGCTCTTGAAGCTTTTTTGTTGTGAAATTGCTGACACCAATCATTCTAGCAAGGCCAAGCCGATGGCATTCCTCCATCGCACGCCATACACCGCTTAGGTCCATGGGCATGATTTCCTCCCTTTTAATCGGGAATTGTGGCTCTCCGGGCTTTGCAGCCACCGGCCAATGAACCAGGTACAAATCAACATAATCCATTTGAAGGTTCCTACAGATGAAGAGATAAGAATCTTGCTTGCCACCAAAAGACACGGATTTTAATGTGTTTGGTACTTGCAGCTACTGCAAAATTGGCAGACTGAAATTGAAGAATTTAGTTTCTAAGATCCAGATCAAATTGTTGTTACTCGTCCTTTCAAGAACCAAAATTTCAATCGCAGAGCACTAGTAAATCCTATTTGAAAAAAAAAACTCTTACTGCAAGCTCTCCTTGAGGGAAGGTAGCACGAGCTCCGGGTGGGATTGCGAGCACCACATCTTGGTCGTCACGAACACCTCCTCCCTGGACGCCACGATCCCGTGCCGCGCCGCCTCGGCCACGGCGTCGCCGACGGCACGCTCGGAGCGGTAGAGCGAAGCGGTATCGAGGTGGCGGTACCCGAGCTCCAGTGCCGCGAGGACGGCGGCCCTGACGTCTTCCTCCACGAACGGGAACGATGCCGTGCCGAGCCCCACGGCCGGCACCGGCCGGCCGGCGGGGCCCACCGGGAACTCTGGGATCTCCGAGTTGCTGGTGCCGACCCTCCTTGTTGGTGATGCCATGGCCGGCGCTGCCTGTGTGCCGTTCGATTCTCCGCTGGTCAGAGGAGAGGCGTAACTAAATGTAATGTAATGTAAGGCCCATCTAAAAAATTTTAGGTCTCAACTACTGTAGTATTTTCGTTTGTATTTAACAATTAGTGTCTAATTATAGACTAATTAGATTCAAAAGTTTTATCTCATGATTTTTCACTCAATTGTGCAATTAGTTTTTTTTCGTCTACATTTAGTACTCCATACATGTGCTGTAAGATTTGATGTGATGGATACTGCGCAAAAAATTTTGGATTTTGGGGAACTAAACAGGCCCTAAGTATCTATCTTCTCAGGATTTATTTATAATAAAAGTTATCTTTTGGATTTTGTTGTTAGAAAAAGCTAAAAATAAATATTGAACCATGCTCACTCGAACTTATTAAACAACTTATCAGCTAGTATAATATTTTACTCTCAACCAAAACAGCTTCGGTCGGCTGAACAGAGCCTAGATCCGCTGATTCCACCGCTTTCGTGAGAAGCCGATTCCGCGGTTTGTCGTTCAGCTTGCGAACAACGACAGTTCCAAATTCCAACGTCAAAAGAATATAGTAGGATCACAAAGTGTTTTTTTTTCAGTAGAAAAATGAAAAAGATAACAAGCAAACAAGGTCTTGTGACGCACGCGTACACTTATTAAATGAAAAATATAATAGGACGTGGGCTACTGGGTCAGTTCGTAATCCAGTCCAACAAGCATGGGGGATACAATTGTATTGTCAGCCCAGTTCTAGATTCTGGCCTTGTTGATGGACTTTGGCATGAAAAACGTATGTGCCAAAGTCACGTAGGCCTAGCACAATTACGCAAAAAGGCCTATTCTACCTCTCCGAACTATCATCATTGTATGATTTTCATCTTTAAACTTTAAAACCAGACATCTTACCCTCACGCGCTCTCAAAACCGTTCAAATTATCTCCCTGCACTAGTTTGGAGGGGTTTTGAAGGCGATTTTATCTTCTTTTGTTAAAAAATCAGTAAATACTTGATAAGGTTTTTAAACGACATTAAATATCTCTAAGCTTTTAAAAACGCTGAAAGGAATTTTTAATATAGATTGGGATATGCCAAATCCAAATAAAATATTAAGAGCCCATGAAAGTATCCAAAAATAGATTTTTCTCTAGGAAAATGGAAAAAATATCCGAAAATCTAGAAAGATTCCAAAACATACTAATCAATGTTAAACATGTTTTAAAAATTTATTGCAATAAAAGTTAATAAGAAATAAGCACAAATGCATGCTAGTGGCAACTCATATTTTTACCATGCAAATTTTTAACACATGTTTATACCGATTAGAATGTTTTTGGAGTTTTCTATATTTTTATATATACCTTTTCCATTTTGATAGAGCCAAATCTATTTTATTGAAGCATATAGAGATATTTTCATGAGCTATAAATATATTCTTCTATCAAAATGAACTAGGAACCTACAAAGTTTCACTATTTTTGACTTCATCGGCTCCGTCTCCTCCACTCACTATAGCAAGGAGCCGGAGGCATTTGTAACCGTGCCAAACATGAGTTTCACTCACTTTGTAAAACAAAGGTTTTTTTTTGTCTCAATCAACACCTCTCAAAGTCATCTTTGTACGATGCAAATGGCTCTTCCTTCGAAGAAGAATGAGCTTGGCTAGGTGGTAAATATAACGCAAGAATGGTGGCACAAAAGTTCACGTATATACCTAAAAGTGATTGTGGTGAAATTTACTCCCTCGTCATAAGTGGCGTCGTGTTCACATACTTGATCTCTATGGCAACTAACTTATGTTGAAAGTTTAGTTGATGGATGTTGTGACCACGCACTTGTACAGGTCACTAGATTTGGAATTGTACGTGAGAGTCCCGAAGGGTTCAAGCCCAATGCCTAAGGCTACATCACCCAGGAGTACGTTGGTTGTTGGTGATGCCTTGAAGATGGGTTTGAATGGACACACACTAGCCACTCACAATCTATTGGATCAGCTCCAAATTGACCGGATATGCCTTAAGCGTGGAAGGGCAGCAGGGAGACCGCTGGCGCAGATCCCATGATGTGGCGCCGCCATGCCCGAGGAGAGACCATTGGGGGAGAGGAGGAATGTGCTGCCACTGGAGGAGTAGCCTCCATCAACCCAATGCAACGTAACTAGGCTTCCTTTTCCCCAGGATTGATATAGTGGCGACACCTCCACCCTCCGAGTCTAGATATGGCATCTTATCAGGTACTCCCTCCGTACTAAAATAAATAAATAAAGTCGTTTTGGAGAGTGACACGGTCTCTAAAGCATAATTTTGACTACTTATTTTTGTAAAGATATTTATCAAAAAGTGATATATGTAAATTTTTATAAAAATATTTTTCAAGATAAATCTATTTATATGGCTTTCACATTTCCAAACTCAACAACTTAAAAGTTATTCATTATTTATATTCCTAATATTTGATCCAAGCCTTGTTCAAAATAACTTTATTTTTTTTAGTATGGAGGGAGTAGGCAGTATTGCAGTTCGCTAGTTGGGATCAATGGTCTCCAGGCACCAACCACCAGGAAGTGATCTGGATCTGAAAAAAATGAGACAGAGACATTGAGAGAGGGAAAGTGCTATATAACACGTTTCGAGATTTTACTGTTGTGATGAAGATAGTTACCGTACGGTTTCACATAGATATATTATGGTTCAAAGGTATATGACTGGAATTGGTTGAGACTAGTCCATCATCATCTTACTCATTACCTTTTTGTTTATTCATTAGCTTTTTGTTTGGTTTGAATAATGGAGTGGGTTGATCCATTACCACCTCATTCTTAATAAGGTAATAATCAGTACTAGGACAAAAAAATAAAGTCATTCCACTAGAAAATTTGAGAAATGAACTTACGATGCATCAATGAGTTGATCCCCAAACCAAACCATCCAAGGATTTATTTACTGTTACAGTGGGGTTTGTACGGTTAAGGGTTTGTTTACTCCAGACTCGGACGCCCGCCGGCCTGAACATCAACAATGGAATCTTTTAGGATCCGTTGATCTAATGCTGGTCCTCCTTGCCGTTAGATACCGACAATGCATGTGTGCTTTTCTGTTCTCCACTGATTCCATATCAGTTTACCAATGTGTGTTATACATGTCCTACTCCCTTTGTTCCTGTTTAACTGTTGTTCTCGCTTTCCAAAAATTAAATATATTCAACATTAACCAAATATATATAAGAAAATACTAATATTTATAATACATAATAAGTATCATTAGATAGATCATTAAATCTATTTTTATAATAAATATATTTAAATATATAAATATTACTAATATTTTCTACAAGCCTAGATAATTTTTTTTAAAAAAATTAACGAGCAGGCTTCTCGTAGCGACAATTAAATAGGAATAGAGGGAGTACTCTTTATAAAAAAGAAAAATTTGTTATCTCGTTTTTTTAGTCATACACCAACCTGAGTCCTTGAGAATCACGGACGCACTCTGTGAGATCTTTTAAATTCATATTTAATCTCTTTCATTTTTTGCTTCAGTATCCGTACACTTCAGCATTTCTTTTATCAAACTCAATCAATTTAAAAGGTCAACCACTCAACCTGATAGGAGAACCAGACACTTATTTATAGTCACACTTTCCTTTACGTACAAGCACGGAAGCTCCTTCAAATTATTTTATTTAATAAAATCTGACACAATTCGAACATAGGACCTTTTACTCTTATATCATATATTAAGATTATGATAAAACGCTCTGATTAATTCACACAAAAAACTTAAACTTAAAAAAGATGTACAGTTTACTCATATTTACACAAATACGATGGGTTGATAGCGATGCAATTACATGAGGCAATGGACGGCGTAGTAGAAGACACGTGTCTCCTCTATTTTTTGTTTCTTTTTCTTCTAAAAACATGTTTAAGTATATTTTTATAAAGAATGACAAATGAAGAGTTTTTACAGAGAACGGAGACTAGATGAGCAACAATTTACTTAGACTGCTAAAACAACTTGTGGAAGATAATGACCGACCAGTAACAAAGAAACCACAAAGTGAGTAGAAATATATACTATCTACGACCACACGAGCTAAACCCTTGCCCATATGGAGGTTGGAGTTTGATGATGCATCCATGGCACTTGGTACATATCCAGGGGCAAATCTAAAATAAATTATCGCCGTGATCACAAAGATACAGTTACTTATAGCTTATAACAATCCAGCAATATGCATAAAGATAAAAGTAATATTGACATATTACAAATTAAGCATGCATAAAAGCTGGATGCATGGAAGTAGCAATAACATAGTGTGATAAAAAACTCTTCGTAATAGTAGTCACCTCCTATAAATTGTACTCCATGGCTATGGCCATCCATTTTTTGAAAGCGAGCCATCACCCCATTTTTCCAAAAATTTAGGTTTATCGTTTGAGCTCAATAAATTTTATGTGGTGATCTTGTAAACACAAACCGTATCATCATTGATATTGAACCAAGAAATTCTTGTTCCACAAAGCTAATGGCATAATCATTCATAAATTTGTTGCCGATACGGTTTAGTGTTACTGTCATACAGAATGGACTTGTTGTCCTGGGCGGTAACGGCCTTTAGTCCCGGTTACCGCGCTGGGACAATGATCCCGGGACTAAAGGTGCCACCTTTAGTCCCGGGTCATCGAGCCGGGATTAAAGAGGGACCTTTAGTCCCGGTTGGTGTTAAGTCCCTGTTGGTGTTACCAACCGGGACTCAAGGCCCTCCAGCCGAGCAAACGTGGCCGCACCCTTAAGTCCCGGTTGGTAACCCCAACCGGGACTAAAGGTTCCTTTTTTTTTGTTTAATTTGTTTTCAGTTCAATTACACGTATTTGTTTAATATATAATATGTTTTTATGTACGTATTCTATGCTGCTAATATAAATACACGCACGCATATAATTACATCTAATTCTCATCTCGAGCATTATTATATTCGAATAAAGTAT